AAAAATCACAAATTATTTACTATTATAATTTTTTTTTTTCGAAAAGAAAGACAAATTATTGTTTTCATTGTTTAATTCAATGCCTTAATGCTGTATATCTCATGTATATATATTTTATATTTGTATTTATTTTTTTTGACCGTGTAAATAAATAAATAAATAAACAATTATGATGGACATAGTTCATCTGCACTAAACTGCTTAATTTTTGCTCCTAGGAGGTTGAGATTGAAAAAAATGTGTTCTGACACTGCTACAAAGTTTCACGATGTTCACTGACTTGATAATTTTGCTAACATTTGTGTCATAACAAAGAAACAATATTTTTTATTATACATGTTTTTATAAATTATCTTTGTTTTTTTCTGTCATTAATTTATACATATATTAGCTTTATTGTATTGATCAATACCCCATTGTGGATATGATTTCAAGTTATTATTATTATTATACACAATTAAAGCAGTTTTCAGAATATGCAAAGTGCATACTGGGTATGCTTATTACTGTGTATGATAGTTTCTACGTCCACTCAGTACAGAGTTCTAATCTGTGTAACCATTATATATATTTTATATTTGTATTTAATTTTTTTGACCCTGTAAATAAATAAATAAATAAATAAATAAATAAATAAATAAATAAATAAACAAACAAACAAATAAATAAATAAATAAATAAATAAATAAATAAATAAATAAATAAATAAATAAATAAATAAATAAATAAATAAATAAATAAATAAATAAATAAATAAATAAATAAATAAATAAATAAATAAATATGATGGATATAGTTCATCTGCATCCCACCTCACCATGGAGTAATGTGTTGTTCTGCCCTCTAGTGGCAATAGTAGTTGTACTTTCTTTTTAATTACAAACGTAAATTAAAATAATTTTCAACTAATAAAGATTACATGTCAAGATTGACAACTGCATGGTTTAAAAATGAAAATTGTGAAGTTGTACAATTATGTTTATAATGGTCTTCAAACATATATATTATGTGCATTCTGATTTGCTGTATCACCATTACTTACACAACATGTGTCATTCTCATATGATTACAACACATACAGTGAGAAATGAGAATTCCTCAGACCAATGACTTGATGACAAATCCAGTGTTAGAGAATCAATTTATATTCAGTATATATCAGCACACATGCTGAAACAAGTTTTAATAAATTTTCATTCAAAATACTATTTATAAAAACATCTAAGAATAGAAGCTATTGGAAAAGAAAAATATGAAAATGTTTACAGGAAATATTGTGGTGGTATAGAGAGAGGTTTATAACACACCTACACCTATGTATATGTCATGAATGAAAAATGATAGTACTCAACTCTATGGTAAGCTACATGCACCAGCATTTTGCTGAGGATTACAGTTGCCAACAAAATAAGGCCAGCAAATGTAACCATTCACACATACTGATCTGCTCACCAAATAGCTTTAAATAGAAAACTAATCAACACACCTGTATATTTCACTCAATACAGGTGTGCTTAACAAGACTTCATTAACACAGTGCTAGCTGAAAGCCTCTATGTATAGCCACAGTGAATGGAAAAAAACGGCCTCAGTAGGCGATGTCTTAAAAATACTTTTTAATATTCACTTTGAAATCATAGCATAATTATTTCATTTTCTACAGTCAGGCTTAGACATATACAACAATTCCAGCATTTGTCCATTCAAAGAGAAGTACTGATAAATCAGTCATTTTATTGTGAAAGGCTGGAGGCATAGGAATATGGAGAATAGAAAATCTAGTTGCACATAAACTGTTTTTAATATAGTGAGAGAGAAACATAAATAAAGTAAATTCACTCACACAAAACATATTAACCAAATTATAAATAGATTTTTAAAATTCTCAAATTACGACTTTATTTAAAA